TCTTGAACTTACCAGGTTTGTAATGTAGTTCTTCACCTAACTGAGTGGAATAGGGTGATAGCATAGATCTCAGGGGTGATGTGTTTAGTTTCCGGGGCTAGGGGGGTAATCGTTATGTGTATCATGCCGCTCTTCAGGATATTCTAGATCCACTTCGAGAATATACCCCTCGGAGGCGTCGTCGGCCACTTGCATCACATCGGGAAACTCCATCTGGGGAACCCACTTAAAGTCTGTGACAGGTAGGAGTTGAGACATGGCCCATCCATACAAATTGTTAGCATCGTAGTACATGATGTATGAATATGGCTGACTTGCATCGTAGTCGGGTGGGTACTTGTTATTGGCTTGGGCGTTGCGATGGGTGATCATGGAAATGCCCCCTCTAATACCATGCTCCATAAACAGATACATGTCGTAGTCGGAAATAGTGTCTAACTCTACTTGTGTATACCTCGAGGCAGCATCCCACGCCAAGCCTGGGGAGATGTAATAATGAGCTGGGTCTAGCTGATACATGTCCATGCAGGTATTTCTGAACTGCTCCACCACATCCGCGAGAATAAACACATCGATGGCCAGGTATACGACGTGTTAGGCTCGAAGGGTGCGGCATCCAAACTCATTCCACACTTGTTGAGCATGCGCATAGGCTTCATCGGAAATGTGCTGTTTGGGGAGTGTGTTAAAAAAATGCTTCCTTAGGAGGTAATGATGTCTCTTTCTATTTTCCAAAATAATCCATGTAATAACAGGGGAAGACACCCTTCTTCTTAACCAGATCTAAAGTAAAAGGTGAGCATACTTTTGGAAACAAAGTGTCTGTGATGGGAAGCGTCGTACGATTGTCGACCAAGGTTTCTTGAGAAGAATTCATAAACTGGAGGGAGTCGAAAAAACGCATGTCTCAGAGAAAAGCTAATTTACTTTTCCATGTTGCTGGGAATGACTTGAAATGTCTGTTTCTTACTGATAAATTTGTAGATGCTGGTCCTGATGTGATGTGCGTCATATCCACGAAGATTGTGAAAGAAGACAGGGATGACTTAAGACTTTTTGAAGCGTAAATGACATAGATTGTGAGCTGCACCCCTGTACTCTTCAGTGTAGTGATCGTGATCATCATTCAACAGTCCGACGGTGCATCAGCTGACGATACCCAGCTATGAGAATTCGCATTTTAAATTTTGGATCGAATTGTTACACCATAGTAACTATAGGGGCCTCAGAACCAAGATACTTAAAAACTGAAAAAGCAAGCGAACTAACCTTCGCCCAGTTAGCCTAATGGATAGTGCGCCGGTCTTAAAATAATTGAGAAGAATTTGCTACCTTTCTTTAACATTCTCCTGCAGGGTTCGGGTAGGAGACGTTCATTTCCCACACACGAGATTACTGTCTGATGGATGTCTTCCCTGGGGTGGGATGGGTGGGAAGGTGAGATCGATAGACTGAAGCGGCTACCAGAGGCGCCTGATATGCTGACGTCTGTTCTCAACCTTAAACTGCACCCATAATTCAGCCTCAGGTTGCAAGTGGTCAGAAATAAACTATATAACAGTCGCCATCAGCCAAAATAACAAGAGAAGTTTCATAGCTCTAGTTTTTTTTCTTGGTAATTTTTACTACAGCAAATGTTGTGTGTGCATCGGCCGAACAGAATGCAGCATCAACAGAGTAAGAGGTCAGTAAACAAACGAAATGTACTTTTGAACTATACACGTCAGCTTAACTATCGATGACACTACATGATGCTATTACTAGATGATAAATGCAGAAATTAAACTAGTGTTTTCATGTTTACCTCCATTCCATATTTTCCTGCATTTTTATTCCACGGTAATCTTAATAGTTGCATATCACGGTGGACGCCACGCTTGCTAACACGAGTGGACTTTGACCCACTGTTCCTGTAGTTTTCAAGTACGATCTCTGTTGCCATCAGATAAATCTTCTGTCTGCCTTTCGTTCTGTTTGGCCACAAGAGTGTTTTAGTTGGATGTTATGGACTGATAAGTTGTGCTACTGATGTTTCAAACACACTTGTTTAACCTTACGTTTGAGTCCTGCTTTTGTAGATGTGAGTGCTTATAGGTTCCCTCACAATTTCGCCCAAAGTCTCGCTCAGAGTTTCGCTATTTACATTCGCTCGTATCATTCTATAAACCAACCGTGTCCTTAGAAGATGGACGAGCAAACGTCTAAGGGACTATTCGTATTCAACGTGTATACGCACATGGTCCCANAACTGGTAGGCCAATTTCCTTATTTTACAGCGCGAAGAAAAACGAAAATAAAATGAGTTTCATTTTCCTACACAATTGATAATCGGTTGGCAGTAAGGTACACATATTCTTTGACTCGGTTACACCTGTGCTGACTGCGACGAGTATTATACTCGTAACTTCCTCGAAGAGAAGTCGAAATATATTTCGATTTGTATACATTTGACTGCAACGAGTATTACTCATAACTCCTTCGAAGAAAAGTCGAAATATATTTCGATTTGCATACATCTAAGTGAGTGACAAATTTTCATATTCTAGCCCTTAACAATAGCCGTCCACGCTTCGCATATCTGCGACTTTAGTGGTGATTTTCTCTTAAAAAAAAAAAAAACAACACTGACAGAGCTTACGGGGATTATTGTTCATTTCCAAAGACGATTATTCTTCAAAGGTTTACCCATGTTCAGATTTAAACGCCAAAGGACGTAAAATTGTAAGTGCATTCAAATGTTTGTTTTTAGTCGTCATGTTTTGTTTTCAGCAGTGGCGTGTGTTAATCTTGTCTTTCTTCCACGGAAAAACTGGAGTAAAATGGGACGCTTTTTTCTAGCCTGAAACAAGGGATTTAAATGCGACTTTCACTCATCCAGGGCTTCGGATTCAATTAAGAGATTTATTGTAGAAATGTCCAAATTCAAGGGATTTGCGAAGAAAATGAATAAGCGAAAGTGATTTGATAGAAATCTTAAAGCCACGCTCAACGTTTTACAAATTAGCGATTTGGTTTTGAGAATTCAGATATCAAATGAACGAGAATCGCATTGTTCAATGTCATTTTTAACTGAAAATGTCTCTCGTTTTAACTTTCTGAGTTACTTTTTGAGGAGGATTATTAAATTACAAATGGTTTTCAGGCCGCATTTAAAAACAAATTTAGTATACACAACAGAATTTATTTCAAAATCAATTTTCGGGCAAAAACCTAAGTTATTTCAGAGAGAGAAGATAAAATTGATATTATTTATCGGCAAAAGGTCGTGACCGAAGTCTTTGTTTAAAAATACTGTCCAGTCGGCAAAAAAAGGTGTATTAATGGCAAATTGCAAAGAAGATAAAGATGTTCTGCAGAGCGTCTCGTTATCATCACGAAACCGATACCGCCCGCTGAGAGCGGACCGGATGGGAAAATATTGCCTTCTCTCGAAACCAATTAATCAATCCGTCTCAATCGCAGGATTTGTAAAATACCACCCAGTCACGAACTTTGAAAAAAATTATGTTTTCTTTAGTTTCAGAACACCTACAGTTTCTTGTGAGGATACTCGAACCTGGTGGAGTCTCAATTGAAAAACTAGAATCCAGCAGATACTAGCGGAGACTCATTTCATCGGGCTCTCTTATAAAGCGTGTACAGTTCTCCCCAAACGACGCAAGCCGCACGACTTACCTTTTGAGTCAAACCTGTCGCTGTTCTCGAGTTGTCGTTCCTCAGTATAACGGAGATAGGGAATTAGAAGGAATGGCAACGGGGGAGGAAATGGATAAAAAAGGGCGAGACGATGGACAGAAGTTAGACGAACAAGAGAGGAAATTAAAAAAAATTGTAGAGTACTTGAAATCCCCAAGGTTAAGGAGATATTTTAGCGACGATGATTTATTACGTAAAAGACCAAGCAAAGATTCGGGAGTCATAAAAGCCGTAGATGTGAGTAACAAATTACGATATTACCAAACTCGTTAATAAAGTTGCTGATAATTCACTGTTACCACGATGAAATACATTCTAGTTTTCCGGGTGAAAATTAAGACTTCCACCATTCTGATTATGTTTAATATGCTCGATTGCAGTTTGGAAAAAAANCTTTTTGGATTGTCAAGCCCCATACTTCTGAAAGGGCAGTAGTTGCGATATTTATAAACACATTTTGTGGAATTTTGAAAGAGTCAAACATCTGAAAGGCATTAAGCCATATTCTTGTTGCATAAACTATCCGCCTCCTTTTGAATA